CCATATGAACCGGATCCTTCCCTCCTTTTCTCGGACTGGGACCTGTTCATATACGTTCTTGGCAGATGATCCAGAAGTGGTTTGCCATTGCCTTCTTCTGTGTGTGAATGGAGTAATTGTTGGGATACCACGGAGGAAAACTCCGTGTTGCCTAGACCACGGCCTTGCCCAACACAAGTTATAAATTCGGGCACTGCCGGGAATCGAACCCGAGACCCCAGCGTTCTAACCGCTAGACCACCGTGGTTGGTCCATTCCTTCTATATGCATATAAATAGCATTCAGACCAGATATTTCTCCTCTGGTTTGTTTATCCATAAATTTGCTAAATTTCGAACTTAATATTGGATATGCCGGAACAGTAGCACGCACCTAAAACGTTTCCGGCTGTAAACAGTACATCATATTGAACGGAAGTTACATACATTAACAGCATTCTTACATACCGTAGGATAATTAATATTTCAAGACAAAGTAAGTTAGATTCACACGAAAATCAATTAGGCAATGTTAATGGTAGTAGTGAAATGCGCAATATGGATGTGCGTATGGGTTATTGACTGACTGGTTTGTTGGTTATTTAACGACACTCTGTCAATAAGACGGGTTACACGACTAGAAAAGAAATTAAATTCCGAGGAGAACGCCTTAAATTAGGCCACGACGGCACATGAAACTTTCGTTATCAACCCTGAAGAGGGCGGCGAAAACAGTCGTCGAAACGCTGGATTACATTTTCATACTTGCACCCGATCGTAAAGGAAGACCTTGCTGCAACTTCGAATCTGATATTCTAAGACCTGCTCTCACGATAATGTTTAGATTTCGCCGGTGTGCCTTCTCAGAACTGCGTCATAGTAGGGAGAGGGTGCCAGAAGGATGGGGGCCGAGCCCTGACCCCACAAATTTCACCTCCTCCACCCAGAAACCAGGCACATGGTCAGCATTGATCTAGCTCCCTCACCCGGCGATGACGTCAGGCGTGACGTAGCAAACCAGCGATGTGCGAGAATTTAATGGCCGATGTTCGCGAATTTATACCGACTTCCAGACTACCCTGAGTACAAAAACCGAGTCCGCCACGCCCTCTGTTCTTGCCTCTGCACCGACACCGCCGCCTGCGACCCGAACTTCCGTCTAGATGAATTATTACGAGTCATAATTATTTCGAAACGACAGTATTAAATCAAATACATGAATAAATTAAGCAAAGATTGGACGGTGGAGTAAATGCTTCATACCATAGAACTCCGTCATACTTTGTCTTCCAATCCCCTGCCATATACGTAAGATTAAAGTACACAGGAACGTGAAATTCGTAGATAAACACTAACGTTTCGGAGAAACATACTGAATCCATCTTCATGACCCAGAAGAACATCGTCATTTTCAGCACCAAGGGTATCGAAAACCTCACATAACATCACGTGTAGCCACTGCAGCTTCCACAGCGACTGACATGTCGTCAATATTCCTCTGGGTTACGACGCCATGTGGAATTGTAGGTTCACATTCAACATTATAAAGCACTCGTAGTTAATAAAATGTACAGCAATTTCTAACCAGAAGCGGTTTTATCACCTGAGGATTTCATGTACCTAAGGTTTTCCACCTGTAAAGAATTTTCTGAACAGCGATAATTATATTAATCTCCTCGTGTTTTCTAACTTTCTTTTCAGGAAAAAGCTCATTTTATATAACTTTGGCGGGAAGAAAGTTATAAGACGGAGATTACTTTTCCTTTTCAGCCTAGTGGTAACTATACGTCCGACCTGTTTCAATAAATCTTAATTTCGTATTTATGGAGTTTGTATTATTCTCTCTGTAAAACAGATATTATTCATTTAAAAGGCGTTAACCGCTTAAATATTGTTTTCTTTGAGGTACGGAATGAATTCTTAAAGATTATTTAGACGTGTTTCGGCTTCAAAGGGTTGATGACACCCGTCTGTTCGTTACCGTGCTCAGAAGAGCCCGCCACTAACAACTATATTATCATCCGATATAACAATACGCCACCAAAATTGTAACTTAATTTAAGCTTTGTTTACATTTCTAATTTTTCCCATTTTCAGCTTATCACAATTTCTTAAGACACGGAGTGCGTAGTCCGTTCTCTCGATACGCATTGACGTGTTTCAGACGATCAACCATAACTTGCACGAGTCTGCTCCGGTAGCCGAAAAGACTCTAGATTAAACGGACGCCACCGTACCCCACTTGTAAGAAAATCGGAACACACCAGCCGTGTCTACTACTGAGCCCGTGGTTGGTGGTATCAAAGCACGGCCACTTCCCAGAAACACTCGATAATCCCACAGGATTTTCTTCCTCGAAAATCAGATCAATCCTCCTCACTGCCACGGCACACACGGACTAAACAAACATCTGGAACAGCCGTGCGATTTAAGACGCAAATCTGAAAGGTCAGCTGAGGCTTAAGAAGACATAAACCAACGTAATATAATATTAAAAATACAACAACAAAAAATCTAGAAAAAACAAGTAGCGGGGAGAGGGGCAACAATAGTTGCGTGGTACGAAGCAAATAGTTCGCAATCTGCGCACTTTCATTTTCACTCCAGTTTAACTCGACCTTCCCTCATTTTATAAAAAACTAATCTTTTCCGTGGCCCTACTGATGACTTAAGAGCAACCTAAGTTATTAATACACAGTTTATGAGTGTATTAACTACTAATAGTAACACACACACATAGTACCTATATGAGGAAATTGGTTGAGAGGGAGTAAACTGGATTAAAGTGGCTCAGGATATGGATCAGTGACTGCCTCGTGTGATAATAAAACATTTACGTTCCAAGAGACGGAGAGATTTTTCATCTATCTATTAACTACGAGCTTATGAAGAACATTTGTGTTCCACGGATTCTGTTACACGAGTCTACAGTACGCCTATTACAATGAATCTTGTGACTCAGGATTACAGGAATACCTCCAGGTAGATACTCCCGCATAGTACCTTAAAATCGGTTACGACCACTTCCGTATATATATATAAACATTTCAAATTCATATTTTACTATCACTCCACTTATGCAGTTTAAAAAGCATCGTTAAATAACTGAAGAGTCAACTCCGTCTCATTTCTGTTGCAGTGTTTAATTACGTCAATAAGTTTCTTTGTGCTTCAAGCTCTAACCTTAAGGAATGAATCAGACGCGTTCCTCTAAAATGTTTGTAACCACCTGACAGCCTTCGCGGCGTCACAGCCCACAAGGCCACAATCGATAACTTCACTGCCGTGAGAACCACGAATCTCAGACCGACATAACAGTATTTGTGTTACAAAAGATCTTCATTTACACTTTAAAACCACTATCACTATAAGCATACGTAACAGCCAAATAATTAACAAAGTTAAAATTCCTCAACCTCTGGTCCCTTTCTTACGTTCAATCATCATATTTCAGACTCAATGCCTATAAGAATAATGAGACAGACAGAGAGAGTACTTTATAAAAATACACTATTTCCTTCCTCTTACTGATGACTCCTATTTTAATTGCATCTAAAACGCGACTACGTAATTTAATCTCGACATCATTACATGAGACGTTACAATAATAATACCATACCTTAAAAGTGCCATTAGTACGCTGGAGATACGAGGGCGGGTAACCTAGCAACGAACTCTCAAGAATTAATACGTAGCAACCGGCGTTATCACAACGTAATAATTCTCTGAATTAATGCAAAATCTGACATAAGTCACAATGAATGACCAGAGTTTTATTCTCATACTCTTGTGTCTAGACAGGGACTGGTAGAGGGCTTTGATTACTT